GAACAGCATAAAAGATAAAACCAAAAATTGAAATAACATTTATGGGAGGGAAAGATTTTTTATTTCAGCCATTCTTACAGTTTCTAAGGAGGCAGTGGAACAGGGGCATACACAGATTTAGGTGGTAATCTTCAACATCCTTTTAAAAGAAAGGTGGCCTCGGGAACCAGCAGTTAGCGTAATGGCTATGTCGCTGGACTCCCACGTAGTCGACCGCGGTTCGTGTCCCGGACCCGGTGGCTTAAAACTCACGCCGGGCGCGTGTGCGTGTGTGCCCAAGATCCCGAGAGGAGAATGGAGGAGAAGGGATTGCGGCGTGACCATCCCCTCTGGGGGGTGATTTCTCGCTTTCTGTCTCTATGTCTCTCTCTGTCTGTCTGGCAAGCACACACGCCCTATAGCGAAAAACCTCTCCAAAAAAAAAGAAAGGTGGCCTCAATGTCAGATTTTCAAGTACCTTGGTTGTTGCCAACTGTCACCTTTGCTGTTGCCATGTTATGTCTGAGGACAGGGGACTGTCACCTGCAAATAAAGGGGAAGGTGGCTGATGAGCTGGCTTTGGAAATTATGCTGCTTTTCACTTTCACTCCTTCCCTCCAGGACCAGCAGGTTGTTCCTCTCAGTTTTGTCATTTTCAACCTGCAAAGTGAGAAGAATAAATTTGCTTCCTGAACATATCAGTTCTTAAGTTGAAATCCTCTTCAGGTATCCATACATGGACTTTGTAGGGTTTGCGTTTCCCCACCCACCTGGAAATTGTCTGGAACATTAATGTGTACGGTGCTTGTTTCTGGGGTAACTGATCTCAAAGTACAGTATTTTGCACTTCCCTAGAAAGAGTGCCAAATACATAACTAAAGCTTCTCAGCACAGGAAAACATCCACCCTGGAACCACATTGCCGTCATAAACTGATAAACTGGAAATGGGGTGCTGATAGCGTAGGAGAATATAATAAACCCACAGGAGCAAAGTGCACTTGGTTTTGAAATCACCCCTTAGCATCTGAGAGACAGTTCCAGAATCTGCCCTGGGCACAGCGACCTATGTGCTGCTAGGATGTGGGGCCCGGGCACCTTGGCTGGGCAGTTGGTAGATCGTCACGGGTCCCTGTCCTCAGCCTGACTTGTGATGCCACACCACACTCTGGCAACGTTCCTCTGAAGGAGGCAGTGAACTCCACTGCCGGCCACCACAGAGTGTTTGGGGGGACGTTCTTCTCCACGGCAATAATTTTTTTTTTCTCCTTTCTTGTAGAGGTTTCTGTTATAGGGTGTGTGCACTCACCAGAGAGACAGAGAGACAGAAAGTGAGAAATCACCCCCCAGGGGGGATGGCCACGCCACAATCCCTTCTCTTCCATTCTCCTCTTGGGGTCTTGGGCACGCACGCACACGCACTCAGCATGAGTTTGAGCCACCGGGCCCAGGACTCGAACCATGGTCAACTACATGGGAGTCCAGGGACGTAGCCATTACGCCAACTGCTGGTCTCCTCCATGGCCATAATTTTCACAAAGGCAAGGGCTGACTGATGCCTTCATCTTTCTATCCCAGGGCCTGGCACTTACCTTCCGGATAACTGACCCTCGAAACATAGCTCTAATATTTACTCAAGCAATGCCATTTTTCTGGTCAGAACAAACTGACTGCTTAAAAATATTTCTCAGGCAGGTGTGCAGGGAGGCCTTTTCCTGATGAGAATGCAATGGGAATGTCAATCCGATCTCTAATTGCTTTTTGCCTTTCAAATGGGACTTACATGTTTTTCCAGCTGGGGGTCTTCTGCTTGCTATTTCTTTGTATATCATTAATCCTTTACATTTTATATACAGGACCTTCCCATCTACCACCTTGCTTTACTCTTACCGCAAGACCTATTTTACGTATATTTAGCTTGGGGGATTAAGTGGTTCCATGGAGTTCTAAAGCTACAGAGTACAGAGCCACCCCTCAGAGCCTCGCCTGCCCTCTGCTCAGAGTTCCTGACCACGCTCACTGTGTGGCTCTGGAACGTCAGCCACAGCTCTCAGTCACTTCCCATGTGTCAGTGGCAGCTATCCGCAGTCCCATGGAATGGCCACTTAGACAGGAATCAGTTCCAGTGAGTTACATCCATGTGGTTTAGGAAATTCTAGGGCCTGTTGATGTACTTTGGAGACAGGCTAGATTTTTAGCAGGTCGTTGGGAAAGTCATGATGCGTTTTTATGCAGAAAAATATGTCATGACTTTTCCGATGACCCAGTAGAAATCTTTTTTTTTTTAAAGAGAGATTTTTTGCTATAGGGTGTGTGAGCTCACTTTAGAGAGATAGAGAGAGATAGAAAGTGAGAAATTAGAGGCCAGCAAGTGGCGTGGTGATTAAGGGTGCTGGATTCCCATATGGCTGACCACAGTTTGAGTCCTGGACCTGGTAGCTTGCTTTCTCACTTTCCTTCTCTCTCTCTCCCTCTGCCCTCTCTGGTCAAATTAAAACAAATAAATAAAGCTAAATAAAATAATAATTCTTTTTTAAAAAAGTGAGAAATCACCCCCACACACAGAAGGGGAAATGACTGTGCTGCAGCCCCTTCTCCTCCGTTTTCCTCTTGGGATTTTAGGCATGCACGCACAGATATCTGGTGTGTTTCAAGCCTCTGGGTCCAGGCCTCGAACTGCAGTCAGCCATGTGGGAGTCCAGCGATGTAACCATTACATCATCTGCTGGTCTCCCAATAGAATTCTTCTTCTTTTTTTAGAATCATTTATTTAATTTTATTTATTCCTTCCTTTTTTTCCTCTCTTTTTTAAATTTGACCAGAGAGAGACAGAAAGAGAGAAGGAGGGATATTGAGAAAGCAAGCTACCAGATCTGAGACTCAAACTGTGGTTGGCCACGTGGGAGTGTCCAGCACCTTAGCCAGCACACCACCTGCTGGTCTCCCCAATAGAATTTTTTAGGCATGCCGCTAAACATTTCTGAAACCCCTTTGTTTTCAAACAAAATTGAATTTGATGGTATTTGTTCTGCTAAAAGCTAAAATAATACAAAAAAATCTTTCATAAATATTAACAATACATAAATGTCAGATGTTGCATTTTTAGTTATGTGTAAGCATGTTACTGAATTTGGGGACTTGAAGGTTTTTGGTTGATATATCTCACAATACTGAGTAGACTGTTACAAATAACCACAGAAATGGGTCGGTATACTGCCCGCGTTCAGACCTTGTGTACATGGACTATGCAGAGATGTGACTGAGTTGTTGAAGAATGCAGTTTCATGGAGGGTGAGATGCAACGTGCATAAAACACCTTTAGTTTCAATCTTCGTGGCAATCTCACAAGGGAGATTGTGGGGTAATTGTCTAAACTGTAAGAGCATGTGCAGGTTAACACTGAGATTACACTTGGAGAATATTCTCTTCAGAGTCTAACACAATTTGGACTCCCGTTAACACCAATGACAAATAATTACATTGTGCTTCTGTGCCCAAAAGTGATTTGAGCTGGAATGCCAATTCGTTTTAGACTTTTTAAAGAAAGTTTAATTTCATTAATTTATTATTATTACTTTAATTTGACCAGAGAGAGATAGAGAGAGGGAAGGTGAGAAAGCAAGCCACCACATCTGGGACTTGAACTGTGGTCTGCTGTGTGGGAGTCCAGCACCCTACTGCCATGCTATCTGCTGGCCACTAGATGCCAGTTTTTTTTAAAGAGTTTATTTATTATGGCCTGGCCCTGTAGTGTTGCAGTTAAGAGAACCAGATCTCACATGGTCGACCATGATTTGAATCCCTGTGTGTGTGTGTGTGTGTGTGTGTGTGTGTGTGCACGTGTGTGCGCAAGCCCAAGGTCCTGATGGGGTGGAAAAATAGAGGAGGAAGGTTTGCAGTGTAACCGTGCTCCATTTAGAAATACTTTCTCTCTTTCTGGTGAGGACATGTTCCCTCTACCAATGTTTTTTTAAATCTTGTTTCCATAAATTTTTTAATTTCTGACTTAATTTCTTTAGTAGTTAAGAAGTCATTCAGGGTAGGGTGTTTAGTTTCCATGTGTTTGTGTACTTTCGAGGTTTTTTTTTTTTTTTTTTTTTTTTTTTAGGGGGTTTTTTTTATTGGGGGAGGGCGCTCGCGAGAGACAGAGAGACAGAAAGCGAGAAATCACCCCCTAGGGGGGATGGCCATGCCGCAATCCCTTCTCCTCCATTCTCCGCTCGGGATCTTGGGCACACACGCACACGCACCAGGCGTGAGTTTTAAGTCACCGGGTCCGGGACGCGAACCACGGTCGACTACATGGGAGTCCAGCAACATGGCCATTATGCTAACTGCTGGTCCTGAGGATGTTTCTTGAAATTAATATCAAGTGTAATTCCATCATGGTCAGAGAAGATGCTGGACATAGTTTCTATGCCTTCGAATCTACACTTGCCAAGGTGGAGAGGAGGAAAGCACCCCCGATGGGAGCAGTCACACCATAATCCCATTGTCTTTGTTTTTTCATCCTATAGGGATTTGGGGCACACAAATGTCCAATGTGTTTTTCAAGCCCTTGGAGCCAGGATTCAGACCATGGTTTGTCAGATGGGATGTGGCTTAATAAGCCACTAGGCGACAGGGCCAGCCCCGATGTACCGACCTTTAGATACATAAACACAGGCTATCTGAGGTCATTCCAACAGGGTCTACTAAGGACAGTGTGAGACGCCTGTGCCTCCCACAGCCAGACCCTAATAGCTCTATTAATGTTAGATAGACCAACCTAATGGAGTACCTCTTCCTAGCAGCTCATTGATTATAAATACTTAGCTGAAGTATTTATACATAGCCTAAAAAGTATTCATCCAAATGAACATAATGATTTTCTTGAGCAATGATGTAAATTCTGAGCACGTGCCCTCTGGTGACTGTCGGCGGAGACCTCCTTGCCTGCAGGTAGTTCTTTTCTGTAGAAGATTATGCAACCCTAAAAAAGTAGTGTACCCCAGTGTCATATTTTGTTCTGTTTCGTTTACAGGTTGATGACCAAATGAAGCTGCTTCAGAACTGCTGGAGCGAGCTCTTAATTCTCGACCACATTTACCGGCAAGTGGTACATGGAAAGGAAGGGTCAATCTTCCTGGTTACTGGGCAACAAGTGAGTGTAGAGATTTTTTTTTTTTTAAGTGTCTTTTTATTAAGCATGTTCCGAATGGCAAGAATTTAACTAGGTCAGAAGCACTCCTCCGCTTCGAAAGGGAGAGATTGGCTGCAAACAATTTGGCAAAGATGACTCGGTGCACTCTGTCCCTGCTCTGATGATTACAGGGAAACTTGTAAAAGCGAAGAATAATCATCCGCTTTCTGCTGCTCCTGGTCTGCCGGGATGGAGAGTTCTGCTCCCAAGGGTTCGAACAGTGGCCGAATCAAAAGCATTGATTACCACCCAGGACTTTTGTTTTTCCTTGAGCTTTCCCATTAGCCTATCACACTCGTTTGTCAGCTATTTATAAAAGTATATCATTTGGGGATCCTTACTCTTTGGGAACAATATTGATAGAAGACACTGATTCAAATGTCCTATGTAACTGAAATAACTGGCATAAAGGAAACGGTGCTTCTGAGAAGGAGCAGGAGCTTTCAGTTTTCTAGAGCCAGAGGAAAATGGGAAGCAAACATCACTGTTTTGGGCCTTCGTAGTGCGTTAGTGACAAAGGTCCCTACCCTTGTGGGATGTCACATTGTTGCCTGTAGAAGCTGACGGTGGACATAGCAGGTTTGTCAGGAGAATGACTTTTTTTTTTTTTTTCCTATAGGGCGCATGCGCTCGCCAGAAAGACAGAGACAGAGAGTCAGACAGCCAGAGACCACCCCCCGGGGGGAGTGGGTGGCCACTCTGCAATCCCTTCTCCTCCATTCTCCTCTCAGAGCTTGGGCATGAACGCACACGCGCCTGGTGTGAGTTTAAGCCACCAGGTCGGGAACTCAAACTGTGGTCAACTACATGGAGTCCAGCGACATAGCCATTACGCCAACTGCTGATCCCAAGAGAATGACTTTCGTCCTCTGAAACAAACTTGTAGTATATCAAAGCTCAAAGTGCTAGTAAAAGGGGGGAACACAGAAAAAGGGAATTCCCAGGTAAAGGGCCATCAACACACACTGCATAGTGTGTGTTGCAGTGTGACCTCTAGATAGCAGGGTTTTTAAAAAATTATTTATTTAATTTTATTTGTTATTATTATTCAATCTGAGCAGAGAGACAGAGAGGGAGGGAGAATGAGAATGTAAGCCACCAGGTCCGAGACTCGAAGAGTGGTCAGGCACATGGGACTCCAGCCACTTAACCACCATGCCTTTGCCAGTCCCTGGGTTGCAGTGTTAAACAGGAATGGCTGGTGGCTTATGGTGTCGGGGACAACTGAGCAAGGACTTAAAGGTAGACAGACAACCTTGTGGATGTTTCGGGGGAAGGCAGTGTGTTCAATAAACCTAATTCCAATTTTACAGGGTTTAGGCAAGTCCCACTGGTCTCTTCCCCCCATTCTGCAAGTTGTGTGTGTTATGTTGAACTAAGCATAAGAGATGCAGAGGTTCCTTCAGCTCAGCAGGGTGTACCTGTTCCGGGCCCTGCTGCGTTGTTCAGCCATGGTGAATTCAGTACCCAGGCACTGTGGTCTCTTACTCCCGGCCATAAATGTTTATGTGCTGTGAAACCATGGCAGTGCATGTCTGAAAGTGAAAGGCTGTCTGCACATCATTTGCTGTACTATTAATAAATCCCACTTCCCAATCAAGCACTCTTTGAGAGTTTTTGCAAATTAGATCAATTCGACCATCTCCATCACTCTCTGGCCCCTACTTTTTGTACCTCTCGAGAGGAGAGATTTCTAGTTGGGAAAACAAAGTCGCAATGGGTTTGACTTCCTGTGCTTTCAGATTTTTGTCTTTGGAGGAAATATACCCATTTTCAGAGACTAATCTCAGGGAATGCCTCCTACCCCTCCCAACAAGGAACTGCATTAGAAGTCTAAGACTCGGCCCACAAATTAATTTGATTTCATTTCCTTCTGCGTTTAAGAAATGGAATGGATTCATGTTGTTCTTTCTCAACGCACTTCCATT